CTTCTTCTTCTTCTTCTTTTTTTTTAATTTTTTTTCAACGTTTTTTATTTATTTTTGGGACAGAGAGAGACAGAGCATGAACGGGGGAGGGGCAGAGAGAGAGGGAGACACAGAATCGGAAACAGGCTCCAGGCTCTGAGCCATCAGCCCAGAGTCCGACGCAGGGCTCGAACTCCCGGACCGCGAGATTGTGACCTGGCTGAAGTCGGACGCTTAACCGACTGCGCCACCCAGGCGCCCCTCTTCTTCTTTTTTTTTTTTAAAGCAGGCTCATGCCCGGCGTGGAGCCCAACATAGGGCCCAAACTTATGACCCTGAGATCAAGACCTGAGCTGAGATCAAGAGTCAGACGCTTAACTGATTGAGCCATCCAGGTACCCCTAAAGCTTAGTTTTTTTTTTCTCTAGTAATCTCTACACCTAATATGGGGCTTGGACCCATGACCCCGAGATCAAGAGTTGCATGCTCTTTGGACTGAACCAGGCAGGTGTCCAAATACAGCTTTCAAAACTCACAGAACCATACATCCACAAAGACTAGCCATAGGGGCGCCTGGGCGACCCAGGTGGTTAAGCATTGACTTTTAACCTCCACTCAGGTCTTGATCTCAGGGTCATAAGTTCAGGCCTCACGTTGGGCTCTGCACTGGGTGTGAAGCCTCCTTTAAAAAAAAATTAGCCATAAATAACGAACTTCACAAAAAGTCTGTGACCCCAGGTTTGCAGACCAACTTTGGTGAGGCTCAATAAAATGTACGGGGCTGGGCAGCGCAGCCTGAGAGGAGGAGGTCCTAATTCTGTCCAGAGCCTCTGGCCAGTGAAGCTGTGATGTGCCACCTCTAAGGCTGGATGGGTCCTGAGAGGCCACTCCATCCTCCCGGGACTGAGGAGTAGGTCTATGACCCTCTAGGATAGGACAGAAGCTGGAGCCGTCACCCTGGTGGTGACACTTGAGCAGGTCTCGGGGCCAGTTTTGTAATCATTCGCCACAGAGTTTTATGGGACGCTTAAGACATTCACGATAATGTTCATTCGGCTCGCAAGAGTTGTTCAAAAGTTTAAGAATCTCTTCCTAATTAATAGAACAAGCAGACAGAATATCAGCAAAGCTATGGAAGAATCTCAACAACCACCAACCAAGCAGACATATTTGACATTATGGAACAGTCCATCCAACGGCAGAGAAATACGTATTCTCTTCAAATACACATGGAACTTCACCAAGATAGACCACATTCTGCATCGAAAAAAGAAGCTTAAGACATTTTTTAAAGAATGAGAATCATAAAAAGTATGTTCTCTGACCACAAAGGAATTAAACTAGAAATCAACAGAAAGATAACAGGGAAATCCCCCAGAATGTTGGAATTAACACAATTCTAAGTAATCCGTGGGTCAAATGAGAAATTATAAAATATTCAGAACTAAGGAAAATGAAGATACATCACATCAAAGTTTATAGGATAGAGCCAAAACTATGCTCAGAGGAAAATTCATAGCATTAGCTGCTCACTTTGAAAAGGACAGACTCGGGGCGCCTGGGTGGCGCAGTCGGTTAAGCGTCCGACTTCAGCCAGGTCACGATCTCGCGGTCCGTGAGTTCGAGCCCCGCGTTGGGCTCTGGGCTGATGGCTCGGAGCCTGGAGCCTGTTTCCGATTCTGTGTCTCCCTCTCTCTCTGCCCCTCCCCCGTTCATGTTCTGTCTCTCTCTGTCCCAAAAATAAATAAATGTTAAAAAAAAAATTTTTATAAAAAAAAAAGAAAAGGACAGACTCAAATTAATGTAAAATACCAGTTAGCAATCCAAAGAAGAAAAACCACATGATCATATTGACTGATGCAGAAAAGACATTTGACAAAATTCAACCTGCATTCACGATAAAAGTGCTTAGTGATCTGGAAATAGAAGGAACTCCCTCAACCCAACAAAGGCACCTTCAAACCGTATCGCCAGCATGACACTTTGTGGTGCAAGGCCGAGTGCCTTCCAGCTAAACTCAGAAGCAAGAATGTCCACTCCCACCTTTTTAAAAAGGTTTACTCATTTATTTTGATGCCGGGAGAGGGGCAGAGAGAGAGGGAGAGAATCCCAAGCAGGCTCTGTGCTGTCAGCACAGAACCCCACACGGGGCTCGATCTCATGATGATGAGATCATGACCTGAGCTGAAATCAAGGTTCTGACACTTAACTGAGCCAACCAGGCGCCCAACTCTCACCTTTTGTTCAATATTGTGCTGCCACTCTAGCTAGTGCAGTCAGGCAATAAAAATGTAAATAAAAGACATCCAGATTGGAAAGGATGTCCCTGTGTACCGATGACACAACTGTCTAAGCAAACCCCCAGGGAATCTACAAAAGCTCTTGGAACTAATAAGTCAGTTTAACCAGATAGCAGGATGCAAAGTCAACACGCAAGGATCAATTATATCTTGGTATACCAGCAGTAAACAATTGGAAGCCAAAATTAAAAAGTAAAAACACGTGGAGGGCCTCGGTGGCTCCAGTTAAGTGTCCCACTCTTGATTTTGGCTCAGGTCAAGAGCTCGAGGTTCGTGAGATGAGACCCAAAGCGTGCTCTGCACTGGCGGAGCGAGCCTGCTCAGGATTCTCTCTCTTTCTCTCTCACGATAAACATTTTAAAAATTAAAAAAAAAGTAAAAACACATTACCATTTACAACAGCTATAAAAATACACGAAATATGTTTAAATCTAAAAACATGTACAGGATCCATATGCTGAAAACTACAAAATATTGGTAAAATAAATAAAAGAAAACCTAAATAAATTGGGAGATATATCTTGTGCACAAATGAAAGGACAGTCTTTTCAGTAAGGGGCACTGAGACAATCGGATGTTCACATGTACCCCCCCCAGCCCCTTGATCTAATGCTAACACTACATAAAAACTAACTCAGAATGAATCATAGATGTAAATGTAAAATGTAAGGCTATAAAAATTTTGGAAATATGGGGAACATATTTGTGACCAGGGATTTGGCAAAGAATTTTTTTCAAGTTTTTATTTATTCATTTAAGTAATTTCTACACCTAACATGGGGCTCAAACTCACAACCCCAAGATCAAGAATCACATGCTCTTCTGACTGAACCAGCCAGACACCCCTTGCAAAGAGTTTGTAGACATGACACCAAAAGCATGGTCTACAAATTAAAGCAAAAATAAGCTGGACTTCATTAAAATTTGAAATTTCCACTCATAGAATGTAAGAAAATATCAGCAAATCCTATTTTCAGCAAGCAGTTTCTATACAACATATATAAAGAACTCTCAGGGCTCAGCAATGACATCACAAGAAAGAAAACTCCAGATAAACAACCCTTATGAATATGTGTATACAAAACTCTTCCACAAAATATGAGCAAACCAAATCTAACAGCATTTTTTAAAGGATTATGCACTATGACCAAGCGGGGATTTGCTCCAGGAATGCAAGGGTGATTCAACAGACAAAACTCAATGTAATATATCACATTAATAGAACAGAGGGTGGAAATCCATTTAGTAATCTCAACCGATGTAGAAAAAGCATTTGATAAAACCCAATACCCTTTTATGATAAAAAGACTCCATAAACTACAAATAGAAAGAAACCTCCCGAAATGATAAAGGACATCTTTGAAAAACCCACAACGAGCATCGGACTCAATAGTGAGAGATGGAAAGCGTTTCCCCTAGGATCAAGAATAAGACAAGGACACCCACTTCTGCTTCTCTGTATCATGTTCTGGAAGTTCTACCCAAACAATTAGGCAAGAAAAAGAAAGAAAAGGTATCCAAGATTGGAAAGGAAAAAGTAAACGATTTCTCTGTGCCGATGACATGATCTAATGTATAGAAAATCTAACAAAACAAAACCCTCACCCTCACCCTCAGCCTCAGCCTGTTACGACTAATAAATAAATCCAGCAAAGTTGTGGGGTATGATATCGACGTATAAAAACCAGTTATATTTCTATACACTAGCAACAAACAATCCAAAAATGAAATGAAGAAAATAATTCACTTGCAACAGCATCGCAAAGAAGAAACACTTAGAAAGAAATTTAACCATGAAGGTGAAAGCTGTGTTCACCGAAAGCTACAAAACATTGCCGGGGGGGGGGGGGGTTGGAGATTAAAGACAAGAATGAGTAAATCCAATGCGCGTGGCTTGGTAGACTCCATGTCATTAAGATGGCTTTTCTCTCCAAACCAACATACAGATTTGGTATGCTCCCTATCAAAACCCCAAGGGCCCCCTTTTTACAGAAATGGAAAAGTCACTCCTAAATTCATATGCAATTGTATGTAAGGAACCACAAATAACCAAGACAATCTTGAGAAAGAAAAGCAAAGTTGTAGGACTCAACTGCTCCTGATTTCAAAACTTACTGCAAAGCTACAGGAATCAAACCAGTACGGTTTTGATTTCTTATAGATCAATGGAATAGGGTTGAGAATTGAGATGTAGACCCCCACATTTATAATCAATTTGTTTCCAACCAGAGTGTAAGATTGTTCACTGGGGGAAGAAGAGTTTCTTCCACATGGTGTTGGGACAACTGGCCGCCCACATGCAAAACAGTGGAGTTGAACCCCTACCTCACACCACACACACAAAATAACTCAAAATGGATCAAAGATTTAAATATATGATCTAAAACTATAGAACTGTTAGAAGCAAATATAGGGGCAAATCTTCATGACTTTGAATTTGGCAATGGTTTCTTAATCCTAACACCAAAAGCACAAAGAAAACAAGTAAACAATTGGATTTCATAAACTTAACATCTTTTTTTTTAATCTTTTATTTATTTTTAAGACAGAGACAGAGCATGAGTGGAAATGAGGCAGAGAGACAGGGAGACACAGAATCCGAAGCAGGCTCCAGACTCTGAGCTGTCAGCACAGAGCCCGACACGGGGCTCGAACTCATGAACTGTGAGATCATGACCTGAGCCAAAGTCGGATGCCCAACCGACTGAGCCACCCAGGCGCCCCTAAACTTAACATCTTTTGTGCATCAAAGGACACTGTCAAGAGAGTGAAAAGGAAACTCAGAATGGGAGAAAATATCCACAAATCACATAGCTGATGAGCCTAGTATCCAGAATATATAAAGAACTCTTAGAACTCAGTAGCAAAATGACAGCCCAATTTTAAAATCAGCAAAGGACTTAACGGACATTTCTCCAAGGAAGGTACATAAATGGCCAAGAAGCACATGAGATGATGCTCAACATTATTAGTAATTGAGGAGATGTGACCCAAAACCACAGTTTGATGCCCTCCTAAAGTTGATCTAAGTGTGATGCAGTTCCGATCAACCCCCTGGCAGTATCTTCTTGTAGAACCTGACAAGTTGCCCTGAAGTTTAAATGGAAATACAAACGGTCACAATAGCTCAGACGTCCTTGAAGCAAAACAGGGACAGCATTTGATGTATTAGACAGTAAGACCTAAATGGTTACTGTGATTCAGACGGTGAATAATTAAGGCATCGCACCTGAGACGCCGCAGGAGTGAGATTCGGCCGCTGGCACATGGCAGAGAGCCCAGAAATAGACCTGAGCGTACGCAGATGGGCGACTTACAAATAAAACGCATCGAAGGGCAGTGGAGAAAGGATGGCCTCTGTAATAACTGACGCTGGGCAACTGGACAGCCATCTAGACAAAAATGAAATTACTACCTCACGTCACACACAACATAAATTCCAGGTCTCGTTTGGGACTTGAAATAACGAAGCTTTGGGAGGTGATATATGGGAGGTGTCTTATCTTGCACAGGAGACGGAAATGCAACAAAATACTCTAAGTTCCACCTCATTAATATTAGGACTGTTGCCTCCCTGTGTTCACCAACCCTAAACCATTCACGACCCTTTTGTAGTCCCCACCAGATCCCTGCTTTGAAAGACCCGTTTTAAAGCAATTGAGCCCTTATCCTGAATCCCCATAACCACTTCACTTTCATACCTCCTTTAGAATCATTACTAAGACTGTCAGCTAATGTCCGTCCTTGCCAGGCGCTCGATAACTCAGCTCTGTCTGACCAGCAGGTTTCCTGGGTGATCTGTGGGGAGAGCAGACCGCAGTCCTTATCTTTTTGAGATATATACTGAAATCCTTCAGATGAACGATGCGGTTTCTGAGAATGATACAAATTCGGCTCCAAAATTCATTTGAGAACAACAGAGAAAGTAGGGGTAGGTAAGATTGGTCATAAATGATCAACGCTGAGCAATGGTGCATAAGAGCTCATTATACTATTCTGTCTACTTTTGTGTGGTGTTAATTCCCCGTGATAATAAAAGCAAGTTGTTTTTCCCCCAGTCCTTAAGAGGGTATGTTCATTAAGACTAAAATAAGGTTACGTGATATCGCTGTGAGCGCCAGGCTGATAGCCTGAAAGTATGAAGCCAGCACCTGAATCAGGTTCCACGGTGCAATTGTGTGGCCGAGGGAAGGCAGGGAAGAGTAGAGGAGTGTAGGTTTGAGAGAGGATTCTCTTCAGTGCTTTCCTACAACGCCCCTAATGAGAACCAACGGTAGATACAATTAACTTGAAATTGACATTTAAATCTTGGTTGAAACAAAACCCCCCAAAAAGGAGTCGAGCTTGCTTTCTGCTCTTTGCTTATTCAGGGCATGAAACGGCGTCACACTGAGCTACGTTTCCAGCTTGGAACGCACCGCCTCCTACACTCACCCCGGGAAAATGAAGCTTCCTCTTCCTGCGAATCCTGGACCCTGAACTTGGCCATTATGAGGATCTCTGCACAGAGTGATGTCCCATCCGGGGCTTTGAATGGCTGTTCATGTAAGCGACATCTCTGTGCGTTTGTAACAAGGACTCGGCTGAGAGTGAAATGCTGGGGACCCGGGCTGGGGGGGGGTGCTCCCTGAAACCTGTGGGTTGGGAGTGGCACTTTGCAGGGCACCTGGCTGGTGCAACACTTGATCTTGGGGTTGTGAGCTTGAGCCCCCCACGGGGATGGAGATGACTTAAAACTTTTAAAAATCCTGGGGTGCCTGGGTGGCTCAGTCGGTTGAGCGTCAGACTTTGGCTCCGGTCATGATCTCACGGTTCGTGGGTTCGAGTCCCGCGTCGGGCTCTGTGCTGACAGCTCGAAGCCTGGATCCTGCTTCGGATTCTGTGTCTCCTTGTCTCTCTGCCCCTCCCAACTTGTACTCTGTCTCTCTATGTCTCTCAAAAAATAAATCAATGTAAAATAAAAATTAAAAAGAAGTTTTTAACATCTTTTATAAAGGTGGCATTTTGCAGTCGTGGCCTGTACCCCATGTTGTTTGTTTCAAAGTAGAGCACAGAACGGGAAGCGAAGCTTGAGGCAGCGCCACGTTTCTTAGGCGTCCTCCTTCCTGATTCCCGGCGCGGTGGTGGCATAGGCAGGGGTGTCTCGGTGGCGAGTCTCCACCCACGCGGGACAAACCCCCGCACAGCAGGTGTGGGAGGGCACAGGGAGGGGCCGTCCCTGGAGAAACCCTGGGCAGCGGAGAAGGCGGTAGAAACAAATATCCTGTGACAGGAGGCCTCTCCCTGGCCGCACCCTCCGTCTGTCCCTCTGAGCCAGTGACTGCTTGTGACTTCATGAAGCTGTGACCAGAGGCGCTCAGGGCCGAGGCTGTGACCCCAGAGGTGCAGCGGGAGGGAAGCCTCTGGGGTGACGGAGTGCAGGTGTTGTGTCCCGACTGTGGTGGTGGTTACACGAGCCAAGACCTGTGCCAAAATTCATTTTTTTGCTGCGCGTTAATTTTGCGGTAGATTTTGTAAACTTCAAGGTTAGTGTACTTTTGATAAACGGGAATATTTTTCTTAGGAAGCTATTCCCCGGGGGCTTGAGTGTTTGAGGCGCTGAGAAGTCTGACTGACACCAGTGTCGGGAGTGGGCGTGTTCCCGTGGACGCGACCGACCCGTGAACGGTGCGAAAGCACAGGGCGTTTTAATCTGCCGACTGCGTGCAGGAATAAGCCACAGCAGCTGCTTAAAAACACGTGTAAAGAAAGCAGCTATCACTACACGCCTGTTACAATGGCCCAAAACCCAAACGCCGGCAACCATGATGTGCGTCTCGTTCGGGGCCGGGAGGAGCGCGGATCGGTGCATTGGGAAAGTCTTGCAGTTTCTTACAAAAGTGACCGTCCCATCCAACAATCACGCGCTTTGTATTTATCCCAAAGAGCTGGAAATTGATGTCCACACAAAAGCCTGCACACGGTTATCACAGCTTTGTTCATAACTGCCAACCCTTGGGAGCGGCCAAGGTGTCCTTTGGTAGGTGGGTGGGTTAGCTGTGGTGCGTCCACACCAGGGACTATGACAGTGCGGTCGGTGCAAAGTTCAGGGACTGGGGACTGAAGGACGAGCAGCTGGGGCACAAGGAATTAGGGGCACTGAAGCCAGGACAGGCCAGAGCTGGATGCACTCATCGTGCATCTGCGAAAACCCTTGTTTACACACTGGGATGAGCGCTAAAGTAAATTATGTGACAGGCCATCAGAGCTAATGTTTGGACCGGGGACGCTCATCAGTTGTCCCGCAGGATGTTAGGGGCAGGGGGGCTGGGCCTGGGTCTGCTCCATACTTTCTGCTCAGTTTTTCTGTGACCCTCGAACTGCTCTTTTAAAAAGTCTACTAATTATTTTTCTTAAAATTTTTAATGTTTATTTTTGAGAGAGAGAGAGAGAGAGAGAGAGAGAGAGTGTGAGCAGGGGAGGGGCCGAGAGAGAGGGAAACACAGAATCCGAAGCAGGCTCCGGGCTCTGAGCTGTCAGTATGGAGCCAGACGTGGGGCTGGAACTCATGGACCTTGAGATCATGACCTGAGCCCAAGTCGGTCGCTTAATGGACTGAGCCCCCAGGCGCCCCTCTACTAACTATTTTTAAATGAATGTGAAAGCTGGCCGGCTCCCTTGGTGGCGCACCGCTCTTGATCTCAGGGTTGTGAGTTCGAGCCCCACCTTGGTGTGGAGATTACTTAAAAATGAAATCTTAAGAAAAAAAAAAAAAAAGAATGTGAAGTCTAACACAAGAACTCCTAGTTTATTGTAAGTCCGTTTACTGGACTCCTAATTTATGTTCACGGATGTCAGCAGTCCTGGTTCTAGAAGCCGAACCTGACCTAAACCCGAAACGAGGGAGCAGGAGTCACCCAGCTGCCATCTTTCTTCTGTCCCCTTTCCGCACCTCCACCTCCTGTCCGTCCTCGGAAAGTTCAGATGCAGGGCGCCCCGGGGGGCTCGACCCCAGCTCGGCCTGCAGCCGGCCTGGGCCTCTCCAGCGGAGTCCGCGCTTCGGGTGGACGGCCCCTGGTCCCGGCCTCCGCCCTCGTGCCGCCCCCCACCCCGCGCCCCTCTGCGCCCCTCTGCGCCCCTCTGCGCCCCTCTGCGCACTGAGGCTTTGCTCCTGCCGTTCCTCATGCAGGCCCGTCCCCCCCCCCCAACCCCCCACATCCCCAGCCGGCCGAGGGGCGCCGACGCGGCGCTGAGGGCGGGCGGGCCAGCCGGGGCGACAGCTGGGGGGGCGGCCCTGACCTTCCCGCGCGATCGATGGGGGCGCGGCCGGGCTGCGCGGAGCCGGGGCGGTGCCGAGCGCCCCCGGCCCGCCCCGCACGGACACTATAAAGGGGCGGCCGGGGCCCGGGCGGCGGCGGCAGCGCTCAGCACCCCCTGC